AAAAAGTAATAATAATAATACAAAAATAATCGTTTTATTTCGATTATGTTGTTTTCGTAATCGTTGCAAGCCATAATCGTAATTGCGATTAAAATAAGATGAATTGAGCAGCCTGTTTAGTAGAGAGGAAAGGCTCTGAATATGTTCAAGTCTTTACCTCGCCCATACCCTGTTACGAGGTTCTTCCACCATTCAAATCAATCACTCCTTACTGGTTTTTGTGACCCTCACTGGGGTCCGGACCTCCATGTTGGGAACCACTGTTCTAAACCACTTCTTCATTACCTTGAGTGCTTGATGAACATTCAAGCAGCAAGGGATACAAATGGTAGTCAAGGGCAGGAATAAAACTATTCTGCTGATATATTTGTTTGTTGGTTGCATGATAAAATGACTAACATGGGAGTCTTAGTATTCCTTTATTAGTGTTTATATAAATATGCTTAATATCTCTGCATGGCAAAAGCCTGTGTGTTGCATGTGTTGTGTGTGTTAGTGTGTGTATCTCTCTGTCCGCAGATCACCTCAGGTACTACTGGACCCTTCAGGCTTATGTTTATTTGTGCTCATACAGTATTTGACCTTATCTCAAGGACCTCTTATGTTTGCAGTAATTACATTTTTTTTTGTTCTGTTTATACCGTCATTGACTGCTGACTCCAGACTCCTCTTAAGCGACTGAAAGGACGCCCGGGGAAGAATTGAGTAAAATTCATCTGTTCTTTGTTTGGGATTGGAGACACACCTAGATGCATATATCTGCACTCTACTGAGGGCACTTTTCTATGTTATTGCAGGTCTACGCTGAGCAATCATCTCCTACTAATGGTTGCTACTGCTGGGTGATAATTCCTCAATATTATCATTTACTGACTTTCAGTGGAATCATGTTGTGAAGATACAATTTCAAGTTATTGTTCTACAGATGTCTAAATAAATGTTTCTGAGCAATTAAAATAAACAAGATTGGGGTTTTAAAGAAAGAAGACGTTATTTTTGTATTATGTTGTGTGTCAGTAGAATCAAGGTTATTAAAACGTTTTTATCTTATTGAAATATGATTTCGCAGACAAACAAATAACATTAATATTGTGAAAAGATTCAAACTGTTTTACCAAGACCTTTGTTACCATTCAGCGTTCTGGCTGAAATAGACATAATGTAAATACATTTCATTATGCAAGCGTCCTCTTCAATGACCTGGTGTTGCCAAGTCCTGTTACTCTGACTCTTGAGTGAACGGCAGCCTCAAGTAGACATACTGTTTCCACAACAACACACCTACGCTACAACCTGCCATTGCCATAGCAACCCTCCCACAAGATGCAGAGGGCCTCGGATAACAACTGGAATGAAATATTACAACCGCACCCCCCCCAAAAGAAACTCCCCCGCCTGAAAGACACAACCGATGAGATAGCAACAGCCAATCTCATTATTTCCCAGGGTTAGGCGGGGGTTGTAAACACACCGAGATCCTCCAATAGCCACGCTGACCTCAATCTTGGAAGGATTAAGAACAGGATGAGATGGCATTCGTTGGCACACACAAACACAACCTCATTTTGTGTCTTGTGAGGACATCGTATTGACCTATACCTTGCTTAACCGTAATTGCTGTGTGCCTAATTTCAACAATTACAAATAGTCCTAAAAGACAAATCTAGGGAACATTTTATATATTCTTGTAGAAATGTTTTCGTATAAAAAAAAATGAATTGATCCTACTATGTCATTGGCTCTTCATTATAATGTACATAAGCACTGTAGTTTATTGTAAGTCAATTTCACATATACCATCCTGCTGCTGTTAATACTCACTTTACACCATAAGTCTATCATCCAACAAATAGTACAAAACAAAACATATTTTCTCCTGTTTTAGCAACATTCACAAGACACTACAGGCCCCAAATGTATTTGGAAAGTGTGTAGGCTTTTTTTTTTTAAAACAACGTATCCATGGCCTGTTCTTTAAGATGTTTTGAGATGTATTCTTTGAGGTGATTTGTGGACAATAACAAAGATGGTTTAGTATTCCATGTCTTATTCTTAAACTTGTATCTAATTAAGATACAAGTTAACATTATGAGTATGAGTAAATAGAACATTGGTAGGACCAGCTTTGTGTGCCTTCATCGAGGGTCAGTCACCACATTGGTAACAGATTGTGCACCCTATAATGTGATTAACACAAATGCACACACTCAACTTAGGTCAATTATGTGTTGAAAGAAAATGTAGCTACCCTGCTATGCCAAAAGCTGTGCAGCTGCAACATCTTTCTAGCTCATCTAAGTGTTATCATAGTGTAACCTAAGCCTGCGATTGGGTAACCAAGCTATTAAAATAATCTCCTGAGTAAATAGCAGATTTTTTTTTCCTTTCCTTACCTTTTTTTTCTCCTTACTCAGCAGAAGTGCCAGAGAAAGTACCGTATGTACATGTGAATGCCTCCTGAGTGCATTTATGACATATTCAAACTATGACATTTAGCACATTTTCCCATTGCGAAAATTGTGCACGTCTTCAATACATCTGCCAATTTCTTTTACCATTAAATAAATAAATGAATTTGATTCAAGGGCTTTCAGGAGTTAAGAAGTAATGTTCCTCACTTGTATCGCATTCGTAGAGACTTCAATAACAGAAGCTCCAGCGATTAAGACATTTCTCACTGATGAATCGGTTAATCTTTTGCATTTTGAAATGGAGAAACTTGTGTGTGGATGTGTTATTCAGTTTTCTTGACTGACACAGAATCCTTTATAAATCTTTAAAACTACT